TGGCGCCTATTTTAGTATAAAATATACTTAAAGTGAGTGGGATATCCTCAAAACAAGAATACAATTTTTTCGGTGTACGTGTATATATATATATATACACCGAAAAAATTATATTCTTGTAAGTAAAAGATTTTATACTTAAAAAATCTTCTTAAAGATTTTATAGATGATATTCTTCTGAAATTAAGAGAATATATTCTTTATTTAAGAATATATTCTTAATTTAAGAATATATTCTTAATTTAAGAATATAGTCTTTTTCGATAGTGAGATATATATGGTTTTCTATAGAGGCTTTTTATATTCTAATCAATATATATTCTTATCAATATTATACTATTTAGAAAATTTTCCTCTTAAAATAAGAAACTCTTCTTGGCGCCTTTATTTTAGTATAAAATATACTTAAAGTAAGTGGGATATCTCTCCTCGAAACAAAAGAATACAAATTTTTTCGGTGCACAGGAAATGTCGTGTACAAATTGAAATCCCGAGTAACGTGGATATGGTTAAACACTCTGTAAGATAGAATTTAAATCTCAATAGCTGGTATTTAGCTTCACACAAAGCTCATTACGAGCGCGAAGTCCAATTATTGTAGATACATATCCGATTGGTCTGAGATCGCGCGGCCCTATATACCGTGCTCGCGAATAAAACTGCGTCAACACACTAATCTCTCATATATCGTTTAGAAAGACCGCACCTGTGTACAACAACTCGCGTGTAGCTCGCACACCGAACAATCCTGTTCAATTATGTTCGCGCGTTGCGCGGCGCGGAGGAAAATGCAAAATTCGAACGGGAGGGAAAGAGAGAGATATATATGTATATATATATATATATACATATATATAGACACGTCCGTTGTGCGGATGAAGGCATTGAAGTCTCCGCGCGTGAATCTCGCAACGAACCGAACGAGAGTCGGGCATATATAATTCCTGCCCTTCGTATCGTGTCGTTCTTTTTTTTTTTTTTTTTTAACGCGTCAATACAAGCGCGATATCTCTCGCTTATTCGGCATAAAAGACCGCATTGAAAATGACATGCAAATGAAACGTTTCGCGTTGAATGAGAATCGAGAAAAATTTTGCGCGTGAATGTCTAGATTAGCGATATAAATGCGGCGGAACCACTCGGTATTTTGATCGCGTTAAAATCAGATATCGTACAATTTGTTGCGTTACATTGAACGCATTTGAAAATCACTTTTTATACAATTGCCAATAGAAATGTGCGAAACAAATTTTTTGTTCGAGACACGCAATCGCAATAATAAATAAACAAGATTTTATTTCAATTTACATTTGTTTTCCAAAAACAAATTTCAATCGACGAGATTTCGAAACCAGAAAGGAAAACAAAAAACCTACCTACGAAATAAAAAATAAAAAAGACGCTTTTGCTCCTTAGTGAAAAAAAAAAAATTAAAAAACTGTAAAAAAAAAAAAAAAAAAATGTAATTAAACGAGCGCAAATGCGATCGGAGGCCTCTCTCACCTGTTTTGTTCTCTTCATCGGACCAACGCGACACGTCTCACGATCCCGTACCGCGTGACTGACATCCCGAGCGCGAATCGGATCCCGGAGCGGCACGCGCGCACGCACTTTTTTCGCCGAGCAACGAGTGGCGGAAACTGCGTTTCAGGAGCTCGCGACGCCGCGACGATGTCTCGTCCAACGTGATCGCACGCGCGATTCGTTTCGTTATGCGCGTGCGCGATAGATCCCCTTTCCCTCTTCTCGGTTATTCGATCGGCAACTCCGATCTTATTGCCTCCCCCTCCTAACACACACGTGAGAGTCCTTTTCTTTCTTCGTCATCAAATCTTTTTCCGCGACTGTTGTGACATATTGCCTCGCTCTTAAAAAATCGAGAGAAATTTGCTCGGGAAAATTGACCGTCGGGATTAGTTATACAGCAACAGATATAAAAGAAACAGACAAAAAAAAAAGAACGAGAAAGAACTTTCTTCCCGCGCATGTGTGTGTATGAATATAAAAAGTTTATATTTTTATCCATACTAAATAAAGTTATATTTTTATCCATACTAAATAAAGTTATATTTTTTATATCATACCGTACGGAATATTACATGAATCATCACTGAGAACTTCTCTGAATCAATGAATTACATCAATGTATAAGTTACAGCTTCAAGCGTTCAACTTGATCCGATCTGATTTAAAAATAAAATTCCGAAGATTCAGAAACGTTGATGAAAGTTCGACGGCTGCGTCGGCGGGGCCGTCGAGTAGACCATCCCCGGCGGTTGCTGATGAGTCATTGCGTGGCTGTGATGTTGATGAAACTCCGGTGCGCCCTGCGGCCCGTTCAATCTGACCCGTTTCGCGTTCTGTCCGTGATTGTGATCGCCGTTACCTTGCTGCTGTTGATTCTGCTGTTGCTAATTTTCACGAATACTTCGGATGAGCGACACATGGCGCGCGACGTTCAAAAATAAAGTTCAATCCTCAACTACCATATAGCGGCAAAGTGGGGGCTTCTCATTCTCGCCTTGCCACTGCGGCTATTACACCAAAGGCCGTTAAACAATCGTATAGTTTTTACAAAAAAAAAAAGATGCAAAAAATAATTGTACGAAGTAAACAATACTTATTTCGATATTACAGACTAGATTTGTGTGTAATCTTATTATAGTAGTTGCGGCTTAAACCAATGCAAAATTATCGGACACATCCGTTTCTACCGTAATTCCGAAAGTTAGTTACCGTTTGTTGTTGATTTTGTCTCGCTTTATTTTCAGTCTTTTCCTCAGTATCGTCATCCGTGAGGAAATCTCTCTTGGGATAAGGAATAGGGCACCCGGCGAATATGCTGAGATATACATCACCACATCAGATATATAAATACAATTTAGCGAGATTGTTAATAAAAAACAAAACAAAACAAAACAAAAAAAAAAATTACATATCAATGGATTCACATACTCCTGTGTTGGCAGTGGCTCCTCTTGAAAGTAAGCATCTTGCATCGAATGCTCCGATGTAATACGCTTGTTCGGATCCATCATCAGCAGTTTTTGCAACTAAAACAATAACGCATAATTAAAAAAAAAAAGTCGTATCGTGCGTTCTTTGTTGAGTTACATATCTCTTGTCTCATACCAAATTAAATGCCTTGCTGTCGGGTTTGATTTTATGCCGATCCATATATTTCGTAAGCGAACAGTTTGCGTAACTGAAAATAAAATATTTAACGTTTAGAGATTTCACAAAAAAAAAAAATAATAATAACGCTGGGAGTTTCACGTTTTTTCTATTTTCTCACGACTTACTTAGATCTTTTGAAATCCTTTAGCAACGTAGGGTGCTCCGGCATTTTTTTAATATCCTCCCAATCTTTTTCCAACGGAAATCCCATCACATTGAATATCCTAAAAATAAATTAACCTCGTTGTTTTTTTTTTTTTTGTACCACGCAAACGAAATTTGACGAAATTGCACCCCGGCGCTTTTACCTATCCAGCTGATCGTGATGATACGGATTACTGGTTTTGATGTCTTCTTGTCTGCAATGAAATATAGGTTCGGACGTTAAAAGTTCCGCGAAGATGCAGCCAATAGCCCATATGTCTGCAATGTGAAATTAAGAAAAGAAAAACGTGTATTCAATTCGTTCGAGCTAAAAAAAAAAAAAAAATACACAGTTGCATGAGCAACAACACACAACTGACCTATGGCTTTAGTGTAATGTCTGGCACCTAAAAGTAATTCCGGAGCTCTGTACCAAAATGTGACCACGACGGGATCTAGATCCGCTAACGGTTTCAGAGGAGCATTAAATAATCTAGCAAACCCCATGTCCGCAATTTTTACACGTCCCCGCTCATTTCCTTCACCCATTACTAAAATATTTGCCGGTTTCTAAAACAAGAAAAAGAGACAGAGAGAGAGATCTCTTGTTGTTTCATTTGTACCGCTTGAAAACACACACAAAAAAAAAACAATGTGTGTCTGGAATGCAAATTACAATATTTACCAGATCTCTGTGAAGAACCCAGTTGGAATGTAAATAATGAATACCATCTAAAATTTGATACAACAAAGATTTGACCATGCCTTTGGGTACCATTACTGGTTTTTTATTAGCTTTCGCTGCTCTGTGAAACTTAATTATGTGCTGCAAACAACACGCAATATCGTATAATTGCAACAAGATAATTGAAATTGTTGATCCAGAATACATAAAACTTCCTTCTTTCAATATACAGACGTACCCATAAGTCATGCTCGGCGAAGTCAAACAGCAACCACACCTTACGGTCATTGTGTGAAAGAAAAACACGAATAAGAGTAATAACATTGACATGCTTCAATTCCCTGAGTAACTGCAATGTAGCACGGTCAAAAAAATTTTCATCACAAAATTGCAGACAAAACCAAGTTTTTTTTTTCATATTCGTTTTTCTTTTTTAAATAAAAAATGAAACAAACTTACAGCAATTTCTCGACACGCGGACATAGAGAGTCCTGTACCCTCTATTTGTTTAAGGCCAAAGTCTTTTGTATCAGGCCGAGATTTTAATTCGCTATCGGGCACGCTATGTGTTCAACAACATTTATACACATATTAGATATGTGAGATATAGAAAAGAGAGAAAGAGAGATGGAAAAGAGACAGTTTGTGTAAGTACACAAGACTTGTAAAAATATAAATAACATAAAAGTTAGCGCTATATTAATTAAATATTTGTAACAACTAAGAAATGAATAGGAACAAGATCATACGAGCCGCTTTGCAAGATGTTATGCTGAAATGTTCTATTATATATATGTATACATATATATATATATGTTCACATGTAAATTTTTACACATTTTTACATTTTTAAGAATTGAAATTTCAGTTCTTAAAATTTACATGTGAACATATATATATATGTATACATATATATATATATGTTCACATGTAAATTTTTACACATTTTTACATTTTTAAGAATTGAAATTTCAGTTCTTAAAATTTACATGTGAACATATATATATATGTATACATATATATAATAGAACATTTCAGCATAACATCTTGCAAAGCGGCTCGTATGATCTTGTTCTTATTCATTTCTTAGTTGTTACTTCAAAAGAGAGCCTTAAGTTTCTTTATTAATATAAATATTTGTATTTTAAATTAATGTTTCCTTGTCCAATATATTCTTGAAAAATAAATATCGATCATAAGATATAAATATATTAAAATAATTTTCATTCAAATGTTTGTGCTTGTGCAACACGCATTTAGCGATTGATTCACAATTTTGAGATTGTCAATCCGACAACAGCAGTGGGTTATGACAATTTATTCGCGTTAGACGAATAAGACAAACTCCAGAGAGAATTAAAGAGCCGTATTAAAACGCGTTAAATAAAAGCGCAAGATAAAAAAAAAAAAAAAAAAAACAATTAAGAAATATAATACGAAACGTAAACTGTGGTTCGACAAGCGTTAAATAAACGACGATCGATGGAATAAAGATAGCAAAGTGCTGTCAGACGTGGTTGCAAATTTAATTAAAAGGTTTTATGCTAAATAAAAATTTCGCATTCGAAAAATTCCGGAGCGGAACGAAAACATTTTGCGAAACTCGGAAAAGAAGTGCGTACAGTTAAATAAATCATCGAACGGAAACAAATTCGAAGGGGACGAAATTCGAAAAAAATTTTTCACGGCGATTTGAGGTGGAGTAGGTGGGTAGGTAGGTAGGTTAGGTTAGGGGACACTAACCCTTCTTTTCTACGTGCTTTGTATACATGGCCGTAAGTGCCTCTTCCGACCTTACATCCCTCAAATTCGAACAGATCCTCGACCTTGGTCCGGTCTTTCTGCGTTTTCATCTTAAATTCGTAATCCATCATGTTTAATTTTATCAGTACGATTATCAACTGTAAACAAACATTTTTAATTAACGAGCGCATACACACGCACACACATGTACGCGAGCGAACGCCGCGATCTCTCTGAACATTTTGACTGATGGCGATTCACATCGGTGCGCGTCGCCGCAACATTCTCGCACCAGAGGGCGTCTCGAACGGGCTGATTTGTTTTTCACGCACGCGCACCGCGTCGAAAGTTGTCGGGCACGCGAATTAAGCCCGTTCTACATTGAACGCAAGCGCAAACGCGAGGAACAGATCTCGTAGAATTGACCAATCACGCTGGTCAATTGGCTGATTTGATCAATACTGATTGGTCGATTCTACCAGACCTGTTCCTTGCGTTTGCGATCAATGTAGAACAGGCTTTACGTATGTACGACAAAAAACTTTTTATACAGCGTATCGATTGATTGATGAGATAGAATTTTGTCTGTAGAACTTGGTTCGATAGTCAATCGGATTTTTGATCGCGCGAAAAAAAAAAACGCAGCGAAAGAAATCTCAGCTTATGGGACGCCGGCAGATTTTGCTCTTATGGAAAATACGTTGCTTTTCTGTAAGAGCAAGACGATGATTGGCTATCGCGTTGCGCGTAAAGGCCATTCTACATAATACGCAGACGCAGGTCGCAGGACGCAGATCTCGCGGAATTGACGATTTACGTTTGTCAAATCAGCCAATCGACTAACGGAATTGGTCAATTCCTCAAGATCTGCGACCTGCGTCTGCGTCTTATGTAGAAGAGGGTTAAGACGCGTTGCCGCGTCTTGGCTATTGCTGTTGCTGTTGAACTTGTAAATTGCTGTTCTTTCCGTTTCTGGCGTTTTTTGTCTAATAAAGAAATTACTATAACAATATGCTTCCAAATCATACAGATTAAAGCATAAAATAAAACTAAAAAAACTCAAAATAATAATAAATAAAATACAACATAATCAAAAGAATTCATTAGTTTAAAGACTTCACACAGAGCCCAAGATGAATCTCAGTTTTAATTGTTATAATCAAAAGAAATCACATGTAAGCAATAATATAAGAAAAATAAGATAAAATAAAAAACGGTATGTTATTTATAAGAATTAATAAACTTTAACATGCGTATTTCATATTAGAAAACGATAAAAAAAAAAAAGAATAAGAAATATAAATTGTAAGATTGTAAAAATTACATATAAGTAAAAAACATGTTTTTAAAGTGTTTAAAGTATTTCCTTTTATATTATATAGATCTTTTCGGTCA